GAGTTAAAGCATCTCCATTGCTTCAACTTTTAGTTCCAAGTTTTTATCGAGATTCTGATTCCAGACCACAGCAAATGGCTTCCCTACTTCCACAGGTAACAACAAACAGGACGTGCAGAGACAGAGAAGCATGTCTACAATGGCATCTTTACCTTCACCACTACCAAACTCTTCCTGTCAAGTGCTCCCCGGTGAGCGACGACTCCATTAAACAATCCATGCTTCCCATCACCACTCTTCTCGCTGAATCTTTTGACACAGCATCGACACTTCAAAATTCCTTACATAACCACATCAGTTCGGTATCCGATACAACATTCAATCCCAAATTTTTTCAAACATATGAGAATTTTACATGTGTATATATCTTGGTTTACCGATGCCCTGGGATGCTTTAAGAGATTCTTACTCCATTAGTGTTCGATTGTTTTTTATTAAGAAATCTAATACTTTTGTAATATATTGTGCATACCATAGTTTTATAATATTAAATTAAACTTTAAATTTAGTCTTTTGATTGTACTTATTTATAACGTTTATTATTTACAACTTCAGAAATTACAATAAATATGACTAAGTAATTCACATCTGTGTGTATACACAAAAAAACATACAAAACAATATAAAAGATTGAAAATAAATTATCCACTAAAAACTTGATTTAAAAAAAATCCTAAAGCAACAATTAAATTCACTATAAAACCATAATGACACCATGAAAATTATAAACAACTCAAGTCACTTGCCAAGCTCAGAGTATGAGCTAGCAATAAGATTTTTCACAACTCAAATGAAGGGTTCCACATTATATTTTTAAAAAATTTAATTTTTAATTCAAAATGATTTTTTATTTTTTAAATTTATTTAATATATTAATATTAAAAATAATTTTTCAAAATAAAAAATATTTTAATATATTTTTGAATAAAAATATTTTAAATCATCATCAGTTCCATAATTCCAGACAGGTTATAATTGATGCACACGCGTTATATGGGTGGTTGTAAAGTGTGTGGCAGCAGCATGTTTGACAATGACGTGGCAACTTAATAGGAGAGCACAAGGGCAGTGATTGTCCTGGCGGGGACCACAAAAGAATAGATGCCAACTATGTTCACGTTTTATTTTTATAGAAAAAAAGAGCGTTTACGTTTCATGTACCTAATAAAAGTACCGGTCCAAAAAAATAACAGTTTGTGTTTTAAAAATATTTTTTTAAAAAAGTAAATTAATAATTAAAAAAGAAAAGACGACCACGACTATAATAAAAAAAAGAAAAAAGAAAAGATGACCACGACTCAACAAGCGTCGAGAGAAGAAATGGATGAAGAAAATTGATTATTAATAAACCCACATTCAATGATTGCGTTTTAAGATCACTATATTTTTGTAGTTTTGTTGTAGGTTGTTGTGAAGTATTTTAAAAATATTTTTTAATTTATTTTAAATTAATATATTTATAGTATTTTTAAATTATTTAATATATTAATATTAAAAAAAAATTAAAAAAATTATTAACAAATATTTTAATATAAAAAATTATTTAAAAAACAACCATTACCTCAAAACCAAACAAACTAAATTATTATACTAAATGACAATGAAAATTTTCTGATAAAACCCCCCCTCTAATAATTACATTTCTTAAAAGAGGAAATATCCTTTTTATTTTTAATAATTTATAAAAATAAATAAATCAAAAGGTGCCAGCCACATGTCACTAGCAGCCACCGCGGATTTATAAGTACATCGAGGTTTTAGGGCTAGAAGATGCAGCTTAATATGTATTTCTTTTTGCGTTAAGTTAATTAAATCTAAATTCATTTTGAAGGTTTTATAATTTTACAGTGGGGAAGTTGTCCTTTTTGCACAAATAATTTTTAAAAAAATTATTCAAATCCATTTAGCACTACAGTTCAATTATGCTTTTAAAAAAATAAAAATTATTTTTATATGTTTTTAATTATTTTAATATGTTAATATTAAAAATAAATTTTAAAAATAAAAAATATATATATTTATAACATTAGATCTCGCAGGTCTCACTAACTGCAAGTTGGAAAAATGTCTCTACCATTGCAATTTTAAGGATGCACAAATGAGACATGTTTGTCTCAAAATCTTGCATATAACACCTGTAACATACTGTGATATTTTTATAAATAAATTTTTAATTATATTATTAATATAAACTAAGCCTCATGGAAAACTTATTGTAACCTGGGAAAAAAGTTACTATTTTTTTTTACAAGTTAGCATTACTTAGATACCCTTAAAAACAAAAACAAAGTATTTATTTACTTAGGTTTAGGGCTTATTGAACTTTCCATTTTTTAAGAACATTGTAATGATTATATAGCTCTTAAATATTTTTTTTTTTTAAAAAAAACCCTTTTCTTCAATGACTTGTTGGTACTTTCATCTTAATTTATTTATAATTTTCATGTAGTGTTAGGAGTAAATTAATATTTTAAATAATATACAGATTAAGATAAAAAAAAAAAGATGACTAACGCATGTATTAGTATACACCAACCTGTAAGTCCACTCACCATATTCAATAGGGGAGTATGGCTATTTATGATGGCTAAAAAAAACCTTATAAGGTGTCTTTTAATTCATTGTGGTGATGATGGTATATTATAGTCTCATGTTTAACACTAGTTATGTTATCTTTTTTTCCCCTTTCTTCCCTCTCTCTACCTCGATTAGTATGATGCACTGAAAAAATCACAATGGCCCTTAATTTCATTTATTTATTTAGATTTAATTCCTCTTATTTTAATTATAATTCTTTTATTTCAATTAATTATTTCAGATTGTAAAATGTTTTCAATTTCTTCATCATTCATATTTGATTCTTATTTTTTAAGCTGTTATTTTTTTAGATGATTTTTTAAGTTTATCTTTTTTAATTTTATCATTTATTTTTATATCAATTTGATCTTTATTTTTTTTATTATTGTATTTTTTTACTTGAATAAATATTTTTTTATTTCATCACTAACACATGAAATTTGTTAGGAATTAGAATTTTTTATTAATCTCAGTATACAAGATTTGGTTAGGTTTACTTTGTTCCTCATATTATTAAATCAAAGTTGCTTTTTTTTCACGAAATGCACTTTTAAGTACTAATCATCTCACTAACTGCAAGTTGGAAAAAAGTCTCTACCATTGCAATTTTAAGGATGCACAAATGAGACATGTTTGTCTCAAAATCTTGCATATAACACCTGTAACATACTGTGATATTTTTATAAATAAATTTTTAATTATATTATTAATATAAACTAAGCCTCATGGAAAACTTATTGTAACCTGGGAAAAAAGTTACTATTTTTTTTTACAAGTTAGCATTACTTAGATACCCTTAAAAACAAAAACAAAGTATTTATTTACTTAGGTTTAGGGCTTATTGAACTTTCCATTTTTTAAGAACATTGTAACGATTATATAGCTCTTAAATATTATTTTTAAAACAAAAACCTTTTCTTCAAGGACTTGTTGGCACTTTCATCTTGAATTATTTATAATTTTGATGTAGTGTTAGGAGTAAATTAATATTTTAAATAATATACAAATTAAGATAAAAAAGATGACTAACACATGTATAAGTATACACCAACATGTAAGTCCACTCACCATATTCAAGAGGGGAGTATGGCAATTTATGATGGCTAAAAAAAACCTTATAAGGTGTCTTTTAATTCATTGTGGTGATGATGGTATATTATAGTCTCATGTTTAACACTAGTTATGTTATCTTTTTTTCCCCTTTCTTCCCTCTCTCTACCTCGATTAGTATGATGCACTGAAAAAATCACAATGGCCCTTAATTTCATTTATTTATTTAGATTTAATTCCTCTTATTTTAATTATAATTCTTTTATTTCAATTAATTATTTCAGATTGTAAAATGTTTTCAATTTCTTCATCATTCATATTTGATTCTTATTTTTTAAGCTGTTATTTTTTTAGATGATTTTTTAAGTTTATCTTTTTTAATTTTATCATTTATTTTTTTCATATCAATTTGATCTTCATTCTTTTGATTATTATATTGTTTTACTTGAATAAATATTTTTTTATTTCATCACTAGCACATGAAATTTGTTAGAAATTAATTTTTTTTATTAATCTCAGTATATAAGATTTGGTTGGGTTTACTTTGTTTCTCAAATTATTAAATCAAAGTTGCCTTTTTTTCACTTTATTATATAATCAAGCTTATTAAACTAGTTTTTTGAATGACTCGAGTCTAGATTTTTTTTATAAAAATTTATTATTAAATATTAAATTAATTTAGAATTATTTTTTTTTATCAAACCTAAGTTTAAGATTTCACTGGCTTTGAATTTAAAAGATTAACCCATATTTAAAATATTCATTGAATCTACTTGATTTTTTATATTATTAAATTAGAATTACCTTTTTTTACATATTATTTAATTATTTTATGAAACTCAAATGACTTAATGATCTGATTAAAAAAATGTCAATTTGCAATGTAGTGCCGACCTTTAATCTAATTTTACTTGAGCCATTATTTTTTTTAATTTAATTTTTTTCCTTAATCTTCAATTCTTGATTCATCATGATTTGTATTTCTGATTTATTTTGGTATATATAAGTTTTGTACCACTATCACATTCCCATTCTTTCAATTATGAGTTCTCTAAATTAATTATAGTCGATTCAAGTTAATATATTATATTATTATTTTAATATTTTTTAAAAATAATATATCATTCAATATAACAATATTAATTTAATTTTTTTATCAAACAAGTATTAAATTTTTAACATTATAATATTTTTAAAAACTAAAAAAAATAATCTATTCCACGACGTACAGCGTCTTAAAAAACCTAGTTTTGACTAAATCTTTTAGCCGCTACTATTTATTTTTTTTTAAGAAAAAAAGCTGTCATGCATCACCTCCTTCCAATGTAATAACATCAAAGGAAGATTACATTTTACGTCTCATCTCTCCCACTGCAAAACAAATAAAAAAAACAATCCTCTCATATGTCTCCATCGAAACGGAAACAAAGAAACTTCAATGGCCTCCTCAAAAAAGCAGCACCACATCCAAAAACTAATCCACAAAAAGAAAAAATAAAACTCAAAGACCCCTTCCTTTGCTTCACTTTATTTCCTTGTTTTTCTCTTTTACACAATAGCAACTCCTTTTTTTTTTTCTTAATTTTGATCAAATTAAATTAGTCCCCTCAGAAGGGTATTCCCTTTTGTGTGGCCAGTTGGCATGTCTTGGTGAGAGAGAATAAATGCATGACTGCAGACACCTACAGAAGCTTGCTAGGTCATGGTCAAGGACTGGTCAGTTAACAAGACAGATCTCTCTCTCTTTTTTATTGCAATCCATAAAAAGATCAGTGCTTTTTTTTTTTCAAGTATAATTATGTGCTATACCAGAGGTAGTGAGAAAGACATGGACATGCACGTGGTTCTTCTTCAGTTGGCGGCAACTATACATACATCAACACCATATTAGAGAGAGATACTTTTTAAAGCAGAGAGAGGGATTATGAAATTGGCTCGCCTGCTTCCTTTCCAGGAAAGACGCTGTCAGGGTGAGACGACCACTAATTCTTCACCATTTTCATTGCTTCACTTCCCATGCCTCATCAGTTTCATTTTTTTACACAAACCCCACAAAAGCGAAGCCCCCAAGATATTTGTTTTTGGGCCGTAAACTAATGGGGTTGTTTTGCGTGCAAATGAGTTCACCAATTTAAGTGCTTTCTTTAGTTTCAGTGATACCAGAAGTTGAAAAATGCCACCTTTACAGTGTCATGAGTGTGCCTTTGTGTTTCTCAATATGAGAGCTACAAGAATTAGTTCACGTGAAGTGGCAAGGAGACCCAGATCCTGTTTCAGTTGGATCCATCATCAATAATGTCAAAGGGGCAGATCCATTTATGAACATTTATACTGTGAGCATGAGAAGATTGTATCAATTGTGTCTTGCTCATGCTCTTTTGCTCTTATTTTTTTTCTTCCTTGGATTCACTGCTACTACAGTTTCACCAGCTACCGAGAAGGAGATCTTACTACAATTCAAGGCTAACATCAGCAAGGACCCTTACAACAGTTTGGCTAATTGGGTTCCAAGTGGCAATCCTTGTGATTACAATGGTGTGTTCTGCAATCCTCTTGGTTTTGTACAGAGAATTGTTTTGTGGAACACAAGCTTATCTGGGGTTTTGTCACCAGCATTATCAGGTTTGAGATCTTTAAGAATCTTGACATTGTTTGGCAACAAATTTACAAGCAATATCCCACAAGAATATGCAGGATTAAGCACATTGTGGAAGATAAATTTGAGTTCTAATGCCTTATCTGGGTCAATACCAGAATTCATTGGTGATTTGCGAAGGATTAGATTTCTTGATTTGTCAAGGAATGGTTACACTGGGGAGATTCCATTTGCTTTGTTCAAGTTTTGTTACAACACCAAGTTTGTTTCTTTTTCTCATAATAGTCTTTCTGGTTCAATCCCCGCTTCAATTGCAAACTGCACTAATCTTGAAGGGTTTGATTTCTCTTTCAATAATTTTAGTGGTGACTTGCCTTCTGGGATTTGTGATATTCCTGTATTAGAGTATATGTCTTTGAGGAGCAATGTGTTAACTGGGAGCGTGCTTGAAGAGATTTCAAAATGCCAAAGATTGCGTTTTTTGGATCTTGGCAGCAATTTGTTTACTGGGTTGGCTCCATTTGAAATTATTGGATCGCAAAACTTGAGTTACTTCAATGTATCGCATAATGCGTTTCAAGGAGAGATTTCAGCGATGAGAACTTGCAGTGAGAGTCTGGAGTTCTTTGATGCGTCAAGTAATAATCTGGATGGTGAAATCCCTTTGGGCATTACAAACTGCAAAAGCCTTGAATTTATCGACTTGGGATTTAACAGGCTGAATGGGAGCATTCCAGCTGGTATTGCAAATTTGGAGAGGCTTTTGGTGTTTAAATTGGGTGACAATTCAATACAGGGGACAATCCCTGCAGAATTTGGAAGCATTGAGTGGCTTCTTCTTTTGGATTTGCACAATCTCAATCTTTCTGGTGAAATTCCCAAAGATATAAGTAACTGCAGGTTTCTTCGTGAGCTGTGAGTCCAAACACCATCTAAATGTTTTAGATGTTATGAGCATTTTTTTTTAATTATTATTACTTAAATCCAAACATGACAAAAAAATTCTAATCTTTTGATTCAGGGATGTTTCTGGAAATGCTTTAGATGGAGAAATTCCCAACACCCTTGACAATTTGACTTCCCTGGAAGTCCTTGATTTGCATAGAAACCAGCTAGATGGTAGCATACCGGAGACTCTAGGAAGCCTATCAAACCTCAAGCTTCTCGAATTGTCACAGAATAACCTTTCTGGGACAATTCCATATTCTCTTGGAAAATTGGCAAACTTAAAATATTTCAATGTCTCCTCCAACAACCTTTCTGGTCCCATTCCTTCAATACCAAAAATCCAGGCTTTCGGCACAGCTTCATTTCTTAACAATTCTGGGCTCTGTGGTGTCCCTTTGGATATTTCTTGCTCAGGAGGTGGCAATGGGACAGGTAATGGATCAAACAAAAACAAAGTGCTCAGTAACTCTGTTATTGTGGCGATTGTTGCTGCTGCACTGATCCTTACTGGGGTCTGTGTGGTATCGATTATGAACATCAGGGCACGCAGCAGGAAAAAAGACAACGTGACAACTGTTGTTGAGAGCACACCATTGGATTCAACAGATTCAAATGTTATAATTGGGAAGCTGGTTCTGTTTAGCAAGACTTTGCCTTCTAAGTACGAAGATTGGGAGGCTGGAACCAAAGCTTTGCTAGACAAGGAATGTTTAATAGGTGGTGGATCAATTGGAACTGTATACAGAACTACTTTTGAAGGTGGGGTTTCTATTGCAGTGAAGAAGCTTGAGACCCTGGGTAGGATCAGAAGCCAAGATGAATTTGAGCAAGAAATCGGATTGTTAGGTAATCTTCGACATCCCAATTTGGTTGCATTTCAAGGGTATTACTGGTCTTCAACAATGCAGTTAATTTTGTCGGAATTTATTCCTAATGGTAATCTATATGACAATCTGCATGGGCTTAATTATCCAGGAACCAGTACTGGTGTTGGGAATAGAGAATTGTACTGGTCTAGAAGGTTTCAAATTGCTCTTGGAATAGCGAGAGCGCTTTCTTACCTTCACCATGACTGTAGGCCTCCAATTCTCCATCTCAACATCAAATCCACTAACATACTATTAGATGAAAATTATGAGGCCAAGTTGTCTGATTATGGGTTGGGGAGGTTGCTTCCCATTTTGGACAATTATGGTTTAACCAAATTCCACAATGCAGTAGGGTATGTTGCACCAGAGTTGGCTCAGAGTCTAAGATCGAGTGATAAATGTGATGTGTATAGTTTTGGAGTAATTCTTTTGGAGCTGGTAACCGGGAGAAAACCAGTGGAGAGTCCAACAGCAAATGAGGTGGTGGTTCTGTGTGAATATGTTCGTGGATTGCTGGAGACTGGTTCTGCTTCAGATTGCTTTGATAGAAGCTTGCGAGGTTTTTTGGAGAATGAGTTGATTCAAGTCATGAAGCTAGGATTGATTTGTACATCTGAGGTTCCTTCAAGAAGACCAAGCATGGCTGAGGTTGTTCAGGTCCTTGAGTCTATAAGGTTGGAGTAGAATCATCGTGGTGTTGGAAGTGCAATACAGAGCTTTCTTGAACCACCTCAGAGTTTAATTAAATATGTACTTTCAATAAAAAAAAAGTGGTAGTCTAGCTGGAAAGTGGTGTGCTTAGTTGTGCAGAGACAAGAGAGTTGCATATTAGGGGGGAAAATCATTCTTTTCTATTCATTTTGAAATTAAAAGAGTAAATTGTTCCTGATATTTGTAACATTTTGCAATAAAATGATTCATTTATTGTAATTCATTTGCAATAGAGAAAATGTCAAATTTTACAAGAGTTCTAGTTTTATCTTGCTCCTCGTAATTGACGTGGACAAAGTAGGGTAGGTAATCAGCTATTGGATTGGAATAGCATGAACTATGGGACTGGAAGTATGAATGAACCGAAGTGGAATGAAAAGTCTAATCCTTTGATCCAGTGCAGCCTCAGGGAAGCACCTTGCTCCAGCTCCTGTAAAGTGGAATGGAAGATCACAGAGCTCTCTGTCAGCATATCAAATGCATCAAAGATAGAAGCTGTGGCGGCCGTGGCACAGCAAGTTCCCTCTAGAGGTAATGATTTTTAAGCATTCCACTAGTTACTCTCTTTTAGTACAACTGTTGCAGAGCCTATCTCCTTCAGAATTCCTTCAAGTGGATACTGTTTCATTTAACTCAACCAAATTAACAGCCTAATGAGAGATTGTTATGTGCCTCCTCCTAATTGATTTCTTTCCACCAGTTATTTTAATGGTAACTAGTGTTCAATTTCATTTTTCAATCATTGAAAAGAAGAGGCAAGAATAAATCATAAATGAGCTTTGAACACTTGCGCCAAGTGTTTGACATGGAACATTGAAAGAATTATTGAAAACAACATAAACCAACAGTCTGGATTTAGTTCTGCCTATTGTTGGCATTGAAGGTGCGGAAAAAACTAATAAAATTCTAGATAAAAGAAACTTATATACACTTGTACTGTCCAAGATCATTTGCAAATATTAAATTGGTTCCCTCTACCTTCTCCAGTGTCAAGTGCGTAACCGCTTCAATAAATTATCCTACAAAAAACCTGCAAGGGATCTATTTCTTTAGAATAAACCAAACATTTCAACTGCTTGCTTTACAGACATTCACAATTTTAAGAATTCGGTCCATGACTACAGGAACGTCCCTTTCAGTCAAGTTGGCAAAACAGAATTGGAACCATCCAGGTTCAATACAACGACAGCAAGATCCTGGAGTAACATTGAGCTTTGCTGTATTCAACAATTTGTCCCAAAGCTCAAGCTCCCCTTTCTCACTGTAAGAGTTGATTAACTCACTCATGTCAGCCCAACAGGAAAAGCCCCCATTGCTCTTTGCGCACTCAATGCCCAATTGCTTCAACCCCGCCACAAATGCGGCATATGTTTTCTGAAGCCTCTCCCTGTTATTCTTTATTAACTTCTGAACGAAGTCAGTATCTGAAAGCAGAGAGACAAGTAGATGCTGTGTCGGAGCTGAAACTGATGAAAACCTCGTCAGCTTTTTGGCAGCAGCTAGAACATTTTCATTGAAGGAGTAGATTACACCCACCCTAAAACCTGGAACAGAGAGATCTTTTGAAAGACCATAAACTATATGTACCCTGTCCCGGTCAAGATAATCTGAATCAATGAGTTCTGCCATGCTGACAAACTCCTCGCTCCCATGAGTAGACCCTGCAAATATTTCATTGGACACTATATGTATGTTCTTCTCTCTAGCAAAGTCTAGAAGGCTATAAAGTGTTTCACGATTAAGCAGATTTCCAACAGGAGTTGAGGGGTTTGAAATCATTATCCCACGGACTTTGAGACCACGTTTCTTTGCCTGGTTGAATCCTCGATCAAGTGCAGTTATACTTAAACTGAAGTTGTCAGCACTGCGGCAAGGAACAGGAATTATCTCCACCCCTGTTCTCCATTTTACATCCCAGTCAAATCTGCATATCATGTTCAGACTTCAGTTCTCTTCCGAGATAAACTTAACTAAATGAGAACTTTTGAAATTGCAGATTTCATAGTTACCCTGAGTAATATGGCGTCGGCACTAGAAATGCATTTCCAGTATCTGCTAGACAGAAGCTAAGCATTTCAATTGCAGGGTTTGCACCAGCTGTAAGCACCATCAGTGAGGGATTGAAGGAAACTGCATTTTCCATGATCTGGGACATAAATCCTGCCACAGCCTGCGGGACAAGCAGGTAATGACCAAATTTAGTTTAACTAGACAGGAAAAAAAAAGTGACTAACTGCAGCTAAAAGAGATGCCAGTCACAAGAAGGAAAGCAACATTTGCAGATAATGGGCGTGCAAGAACTTGTCACTGTGATGCATGAATGCAATGTCTATTTAGTTCATAAATAGGAGAAAAAAGGATAATGCTAAATCTTCATTCCTTTCAGGTATTGTTCAAAAAGAAAGAGTAAATTAATATAATTGGGATCCACAATTAAAGTGATTGGAAGGACAAACATTTTGCAGACACCGCTAGGAGCCCAAAAGGAAAAGAATGATGCTGCAATAGAGAGCTAGTTAGGGCAGCACTCAAGCTCGGTCGGGGTTTGGTCTTAAGGTCATATAAAAACATGTCTCCTTACGTTTTGATTTCACTAACAATGTAAAGGTTTGCTAAGGTTATTATAAATAAAACAACCACTTGAATCTGCACTTATGCTTTATCAAAACACCCAGGAGCTAAACAACAGAATGACCTTATCTCAAGTCAATACAACTCAAATTCTAAAACCAATCAAATTGCTTTTCTTCTTCTAACAAATTAAACATCCGAGAAAAGAAAAACCATTCTAATTAAGTTGAATGAAAGGTTAAAAACTTCGAAGACTAAAGTTCTAGTTGTAATCAATCTATTACTGAATTAATTGACTGAAAATGACCTAAACACGTTTCATTAATACAAAGAGAAGTAAATAAAATTACCACTTTCAATTGCGTAAGCCCATGAGAAGGCTGGTAAGTAGCAATCCCACTAATACTTAACTCCTCTCCTTCAACACCACCACCCAATATTGCTTCCTTTGCATTCTCTACGAGCCACTCCTTAACCAAATCCAACGTTAACTAAAACAAGCATAAACCCATTATCGAAACACAAGATGGACCAAAAGATTCAGACTTCCAATACCAAAGAGAGAAAAAAAATTCCAAACTTTAAGCTAAAGTACACACCTTGTTCTCATCCATACCAAGCTGAATAACCCCATTTGGATTGACCGCTTCGTCATATGGATCCTCCAGGACTTTCTTCAACCCAACATAGTAAGGTGAGTCCCCACTCTTCACTATTCCATTGACCCGGCCCGACAAGAAAACAGGTCCTCTCAGACTTCTCGGTGATAAAAGGTTTCTAGACGAATTCCGATGAAACCCAGAGAGCTCTGCCAGATTCCCCGACGACCCAGAAGGAGACGGCGCATTAGGGTCCCTTGCTGGGTCATCCTGGTCATTCGGGTTATCACGGTGTTTTCTTCTTAGATAAAGCTGGAGGAAGTAGAAAAGAACACAGGGTATTACTGAGCCTAGAAAGAGATCTCCTCTACCCTGAACAACGCCTTGTAAAGGAACTATAATTCTCATGGCGGTTCCTCCACTGCTGACAGTGGTGGTTTGTTTCGTTTCCTCGTCGGGTTGGGATGCCCGGGTCCGAGACAACAGGGTTCGGGTCATTTTAGTTGCAGTGGAAAAGTCATGGAGATGTGTAACGGGTTTCGTATTAAAAATCCATTGGGGTAAACCCAGATGTGAAATAATAGGATGGTGGTTGCGGTTAGGTTTCAGAAAGATTTTTCATTTGCGTTTATGTAAATTCCAAGGGATATTTTGTTTCCTTCGTTATAGAGGGGTGGTTAGGACTGGATCTCTCTCTCTCTCTCTCTCTACTCACTAGAATTTTTTGGTTTTGCAGGCCACGTGAGTTTACCTCAATGGCCCTTCTCAAAGATTTTTAATTTTCTTTATAATTTATGTAATCCTCAATGTTTTTTTTCACAATCTTTAAAGGTTCATGAGAATTAAGTTCTGGCTTTATAGTAATTTCAGTCGCATAAAACAAGTCACCTGTCGTATCAAAGAGGAGCATTGTTTTAATCTGAACTCAAGGCGATGCTCCCCTTTCGTTTGAGATCCCTAGGAATTTCCAGGCAGTCAGCCGATAGAATCTGTCCCCCCCCTGACACTCGAAGACTAAGTCCCAACTAGTCTCTTCCCTTTGTCAACCACAACCGTAAGCTACAAAACCCAAGCCCGGGAAGGGAAGCGATGGCCGGCCTTGAATTAAGGCAGAAAGCAAGTGCTGTGCAAAGGTTGTAGTAATGAAGGGTGCAAACTCCCCCAGTCAAAAACCACCTATAATATTTTGAAGGATGTACTTAACTGATCAGAATTTTCTTTCCAGAGATTACTAATTCAAGTATAATAAATTTCAAGTTATTTGAAACCTATTTAATTATTAACTTGAGAGGCTTGAAGGATTAGGCAAAATAAACATAAAATGTCAACTTATAAAAAAAAAAAAAAACAACCTGTCACTTTCAAAGGCCTTTTGGGTTAGGACCCCCTTCAAGCATAGAGTTCTATTTTTTATTTGGGCCACGTGCTTTTCCTCAGCTCATGTGGATTCTGGGACCAAAACTCACGTGCCTTGAGGGATCCAATTATAGGACAACCCCTTAACATCCTCCATGTATCTTCCCAAACAACAATCACATAATTGCGTGGTGATTGCGGCACGCACACTAGAACTGATTTCTTCTAGAAAAAATATTAATTATTAATGATAAGGTCATCATGGAGTAATTAATGATACATCTTGCTCGAAAATTAAAAAAAAAAATAAAGCATCGAACTTTACATCAAAAGTTTTGGAGATGCTTAACGATGAGAACGTCACATTTGTTCAATTAGATACATACTTCATAGTTGCGGTTCAGTGTCCTTTGGTTCCGATCGGAGTGCATATACTAGGATGTATATTTCCGAAAATGGTGAAAAAGATGAACTAATTCTATCCCGATTAATATACTAGTATATTTTTTATTTTTCAGCCGCACACCAAACTAGAGACATCAGTTTTCATTACCCGGTATAAATTGGGACCTTCAAGAATTAAAAAGAAAATTAAAAAAACAGATTATCATCTAATTAAGAAAACTAAAAATTTTAAAATACATACTAGCTATTAAAAACCTAAGTAAGTGAATGATTATACTGGAGCAAAGATAAACAAAACCTTTACTAAATTCTTTTTAAATAAAGAGTTATTTTAGTTATATGGTTTCATTTAAAATTTATTATATAGATGTTAATATTTATCTAAATTATAACTTGCCCGAAAATTAAAAAAAAAAAAAAGCATCGAACTTTACATCAAAAGTTTTGGAGATGCTTAACGATGAGAACGTCACATTTGTTCAATTAGATACATACTTCATAGTTGCGGTTCAGTGTCCTTTGGTTCCGATCGGAGTGCATATACTAACTTTACATCAAAAGTTTTGGAGATGCTTAGCGATGAGAACGTCACATTTGTCTACCGTGTTCAATTAGATACATGCTTCATAGTTGTGGTTCAGTATCCTTCGGTTCCGATCGGAGTGCATGTACCGATCGGAGTGCATGTACTGGATGTATATTTCCGAAAATGGTGAAAAAGATGAACTAATTCTATCCCGATTAATATACTAGTATATTTTTTATTTTTCAGCCGCACACCAAACTAGAGACAT